CTCCCCAAAGCCCCCCGGTACATAGTTGTGTATTCTTCGTTGTGGGTTCTTCTAGTTGTGGCATGTGGGACGCTGCCTCAGCGTGGTCTGACGAGCAGTGCCATGTCCGCGCCCAGGATTCGAACCAACGAAACACTGGACCGCCTGCAGCGGAGCGCGCGAACTTAACCACTCGGCCACGGGGCCAGCCCCCCAGCTTGTCTTTTTGCTCCTTGACCCAAGAAGAGGGGCCACCCTGACTGCTCTCCGGAAGTGGACTGAAAAGTGGCTTTGATATTCTAAACATCCTAATTTGGATCATTAAGCCCGGCTGATTCCATTCTCTGTTCACACTGAGTTTTAGTCTCTCCCACACCCCCACCTGCTTTATGTTCTTCCTGGTATTATAGTCAACGATTTGTCTCCTGCTTCTTCAGGCACAGTCCTTTGTCCCAGCCATCTCTGGGCATTAATCGCTCTGTTTAGTAGCATGTAGTAGAGCATGCTTCCTATGTGGCAGACCTGGCACAAGGCACTTAACTGCAATGAGTTGTTCCATCTGGTGAGGCAGACGTTATTATTGTCCCTATTTTACAGACGAGAAAACTGAGGCAGAGAAAGATTCAGCACTTTGCCACAGGTCCCAACTGGTAGCAAGTGTTAGAATCAGGATTTGAACCCAGGTAGTCTGGTTCTGGAGCCCACGTTCCTAACACTGCACATTATTGCCTCTCAATAAATGACTGATCACAGACTGATGAACCGGAGGTACTAACAGCAAATTCTAACGATGATGAAGTTGCGTTATCAAGAGGTCAAGGGCGGAACTGAGGTGATAATTGTCAAGATCCATGTTTTAAGAATGTCACAATTTACATTCCTTGAGCGTGGGGCATTCTTTCATTTCTCTGCTTCATTAAGTAGAAAAAGTCCACATTTCTTTTAGAACAGTGTTTCTCAACCAGGGACGTTTGCCCCTTGGGGGGCATCTGACAACATCTGGAGCTGTTTTTGGTTGTCCTGACTGGGGTAGGGTTAGAGGAGTGTAGTTGGCTCCTGGCGCCTAGTGGGGTAGAGGCTGGAGATGCCACTAAATATCCTACAATGCACAGGAGAGCACTCCCCCTACAAGAAATTATTGGGCCCAAAATATCAATAGTGAAGAAATTAAGAAACCTTGCTCTAGAAAGATCCCAAGTCCAACTACTTAGGAGATCTCTGATGTAGCTCACTTTTGACTACACATGCAGAAAAAGGAGAAAAATTAATCCTTCTATTTTAATCATTCAGACTCACCTCTCTGGCAGGATAAAGCATAGTTTAGACAATCTTCAATGGTCTGCCAGCCACTGTGAACATTTTTAAAGGACATAAATCTGAATTTCAACTTTCACTCAATCAACTGTTAAACCCAGGATGTATTTCCCCTCTGGAAGCTACCAACACAATAACACGTAATCCTCATAAAATGAGAAAGTGATGTCAAATGATTAAGAACAGACACAAGCTACCAGTTACTATGCAGGCTTCCTCCTGTACACAGAAGTTTTCTTTCTCTTTCTTTCTGATTGGCCCAAGGCAAGGATTCTTCCTCTAAGTCTGTGATGCCTTAGAAATCACAGTGAGATCTCATGTGGCTTCTCTTTCTCCAGATATATATGCCCAGAAAGGGCAAGAACTGGCTCCCCAGTGGATTCTTGACTAGTGTGTTGAATTTAGCTACCGTAGGTGCAGAATAGTGTAAAAATACGATCTCAATTCATTTACCATGTCTTGCAAATATTACATTTGGAAGAATCTGTTATATATTTGGAAGGAGAGCTATTAGACACTTGGCAATGAGTACCCTTGAATTTTGAAAGTTATTTCAGTAAAGATATTTTACATTATATGATCCAAACTCTAAACAGGAAAAAGCAAAACATAAATGTCCTAGAATTTTACAATTCTTAAGGGCTGTTTTATGCTCCATGCATAGATAGAGTGATGCTGTTTAATGAAGTAATTTTATAACCCAGGGAAGAAGGAACCTCATGCACTAAGTCATCTGTCACACAACGTCTCCCTTGGCAGTCCTTTGCAGTCACATGGATCCATTCTTTTCTTGGAGTCCCAGCTGAAGGGAAGTCATCTGGGTAAAGCCACCTCGTCACTCAAGATCATTTTCTTTCTAGAAGTTCAGACAGGAGAATTGCTATCCTGAAAGTCAACATCTGTTGCTCTAGCCCAAGTCCATGGCCACCTTGGGTAGACAGCTCTACCATCACACATGTTCTACCATATACATCATCTTTTCCAGGTCGTCTATATACAATTTGTCATCACTAGATGCTTTGTGGAAGCGTCTTTATAGGAAAATAGAGGTCAAATTCTTTAGATTAAGGTACATGGCTAAATAAAAGAATCAAGATGAAATTACCTCATCTTTAACTCTTCAAGTCAATAGAGCTTTTATAAAATCATGTTCCCTCAACAAAAAAAAGCTACCGTTGGAAGTTTCCTAAGTACAGATGGGAAAGGAAGAATTTTGCTCTCTGATTTTGCACATCTTGCAATTATTTGGACTATTTCATAGACGTGCCCTTCTGAACAGCACATGAATCCAGCAGTGCCCATAAGAAAGTATCACTATGGATTTCTCAGTCTCCCTCCTGTGTTCCTGTAGCTTCACAGCTCAGATGTAAAATTCCACTTGAGCGTTTCATATAAAAAGCACTCTCAGATTTGCTTTTTAATATTATAAAATTGCCACAGAAATTGGTTTAGCACTTTATAGGGCCCTGTACTCACGAAGTTAGACTTTTAGGAGTTGAAGACTCTTTGAAAACACTTACATGGATCAAATATTTCTAAAATAACATCATGGTATAGGTGAGGCAATGCACTATAATCTTGTGCTTCAATAATTGTTTCTGGAATTCTCATTTTAAAAGATTTTGTCCGACAGTCTTCACTCATTTTTTGAAAATAAAATCTACCAAGAATGTTCTCTTATTTCTTTCCCTATTTCTGCATAATTGTGCTAATATACTAGCTAAGGCAGTTATATTTTAAACGACATGTATATATTTAGCAGCATAATTATGCAAATTCTACCATGTTTAAGATCGTAAACATCTCCAGGGGCAGTTACTTTGCATCCAGTCCTGAAACAATTTTTTAAGAATTTTGGTTGAAATGCTCAGAATTCACTCCTGAATTTACTTCTCTGCTGGGTGGTATGGCTCATGGTTCTCACTCATCAGGCAGAATATTGCACACTGGTAAAAAGTATGGATTCCTTAAGGGACCTGGACATTCTCTGTTACTTACTGGCTTTGTGACCTTGGGCAAGTTACTTAACCTCTCTGAGCTACATTTCTGCATCTGTAAAATGAGGATGATGATAGAACATAACTCACTGGGTCATCATGAGGATCATATCACATGATGGATGAAAACTACTTAACACAGTGTTTAGCTCATGAAAAGGTTCTCAATAAATGATAGCTACCATCAACCTTCTTCTTCTTCTTCTAATATTCCCCAGCAGTACCCAGGCAGCATGGCACTTGCTCCTTTGTCCTACATTCTTATCTATCTAGGTAACAATGAGGTGATGGATGGCAGGGCTGATAACCACACTTCCAGACTCAAGTTCTTTTTATTAGAGAATCATTCTATACACACATTTGTCACGTGCCTGGGTTGAGTTAGTGGGGATGTTTAGGTCTTTCAGGAACAGCAACTCTAAATGTAGAGAGGTGTGTGCGTGCGTGTGTGTGTGTGTGTGTGTAGGACTACAGAAGAAGGGAAATCGAGCCAGCATTGCACTCCAATTCCACCCTCTGGAGATAAGCTGATTAAAAGGTGAGGAATCACCTGGGCAAGACGTGAGAGATAAAATTCTTCCTCTGCTATTTCACATTACGGGACATGAAAATATGTGAACATGTAAAATTACATTCATAATTACAATCATATGTCAGAATACGGTAGTGATAATGACAGTATATTTTAGGTGAACATGAACCTTTTTAGTCAATTTTTTTAATACTAGAAATGAGATAATTTGGATTTCCTAAAAAGGATTCTTAATATGCAAAACAGAAATCCATAGAATTTTCTGAGCTTCAGTAAAATGGAAATCTCTGAGGGCGGCAAATCCTTTTCAAAAAGGAAATGGAAGCCTCGAAAGAACAGTGATGCTATTTAAAGCTAAAATTCTTCAAGACTTTAATCAGAGAGTGATATCTAGAAGATTCCACTTGCAAGCAGAGGGTTCCTTCATTTTGTTTTCTCCCATAACCAGATCCCATGAAAAGCTGGGTTTAATGATGTTCATTAAGTTACATATGTGTGGCAACTGCACATACGACCCTGAGCTAGATGCTGGGGAAGAAGTCAGACACCATCACTGGCCAAGACGTGCCTAGAAACCAGCAGAGTGGAAATGGCTTCATATGACCCAGGGCAGAATCAAGCTCTCAATCCTCTTCTACCTACAAGGTGGGTCAGCGTGGGGGTGGGTGGGGACAGTGGGGAGGATGGATTCTGGCCGTCAACATCATATCCTAGAGATGGATAGTTTTTATTGTTTCCTGGACCAAATCCTCATGGCTCTAAGACATTAGTGACACACTAACCCTCTCAGTGACACACATTCCCCGACCAGCCCCTCACAGCCCACGACAGCAGACGTGTTACCCTTTCTTTGAAGCACAGGGCACAAGCTTCCAAGCCTTAAGGCGGGTGTTGGTAGATTTCCCTCTAGCTGTGACACTAGTCTGTTCCAAGGAGCCTCAGTGTTTATCCCACACCCCTCAGCTGTCTGTGCTCATGAGAAGCGTCTTTCTTTGAGTCTTAGAATTTCCCTCTAAGGCCTTTGGAAAGAAGAGAATGAATACCAGTTTCCAATCCATTTCTCGGTCCTACATCATCAAGCCAGTCACCGTTGCTGTTTTTTTAGCTGTGTGAACGGGTTAGAATTCATTGTTGCATCACTGACCCCAAACTTCCATGTTCATTCTCTTTCCATCCTCCTGGAATCTTTTTGCTGTTGACTGAACAGATAAGGAGAGATGGCCCTTTCACGATAAAATCCTGCTCATGAAAACAAGGCTTTCTGATTTGTGTGGAAAAAAGTAAGACAGATGATTCACATTCTGGCCACAATTTTGGCCTTTTTAAAATAAAGTTATGATTACAGTAAGGGATATTATCATTTTTGGTGAGAAGCAGGAGACAGTGGTTCTAACAAGGTGCTTAAAAACTGAATATCTGAATCTTATGTTTCACATGCCTTCTGAATTCATATATGACAACAGGTAAAATTCTTAACCTCTTTTGGACTCAATTTCTTTGACTAGATTTTTATGGTTATAATTATTATGTTGACTTCTTTCAACCAGTTCAGGCAAGAGAAATCCCGTTTATCAAAATTAGCTTTTCTATTATTAAAGGAACTTTGGAGGTTGTTTTTTAAAATATCGGCACCTGAGCTAACAACTGTTGCCAATCTTCTTTTTCTTCTTCTTCTCCCCAAAGCCCCCGAGTGCATAGTTGTGTATTCTAGTTGTAGGTCCTCCTGGTTGTGGCATGTGGGACGCTGCCCCAGCATGGGGTGATGAGTGGTGCCATGTCGGATTCGAACCGCCGAAACCCCTGGCTGCTGAAGTGGAGTGCGCACACTTAACCACTCGGCCACAGGGCTGGCCCCTGGAGAGTTTTTAAGACACAGTAGGAAGGTTGTGGGCTGGTAAATTATAAATTATAAAAACATGCATATTAAAAAAGAAATTTAAATATTGAGAGTGTCTCATTCACTAAAAAATTTTTGCTGGTCACAGAACCACTCCTGAATGAGTATTAAAACCGTCCTATCTTTACGCAAATTCGCGTTTTTTATCACCCTAGATGACAAGACAGTGACACATTCTTGCCATTTTCCAAAACCAGATGAGAAAACACGATTGTACTCCACAAGGAAAAACACAAATTGCCATTTCAAACAGTTAAAACTTGAACCACTCACTCCTTATTTTCAATGGCAGATCAATAATTATAAGCTCTCTCTTTTTTTTAAGGTATGCTTTTTTTTGTTGAGGAAGAATGACTCCAAGCTAACATTTGTTGCCAATCTTCCTCTTTTTTTTTTTTTTCTCCCCAAAGCCCCAGTACGTAGTTGTATATCCTAGTTGTAGGTCATTCTAGTTCCTCTATGTGGGACACCTGCCTCAGCATGGCATGATGAGTGGTGCCACGTGCACGCCTAGGATCTGAACTGGTAAAACCCAGGCCGCCGAATCGGAGTGCACAAACTTAACCACTTGGCCACGGGCCGGCCCCTACTATAAGCTCTTGATCCATCTGTCAGAATGGTTTCTGCTAATCAGAATTTTCTTCTGAATTATTCAGATTTATACCAACGATGATGCTGTTAGAGGCATGCTCCGGAGGCACACCCTGACCACTTTTGCTGGTGTGTCTGCCCTCCCTTAGCACAGCTATTGGTCTGCCTCACTTGACCACCACCAATTTCGAGACTCTCTGAGGACAAGGATGACCTTTGATCCTACTCTATGCCCTCAGCAGCACCCACTGGGCACACTGCACAAAGCTGGTGCTCAGCTGACATCTCTTCTCTTGGTCTGACCTCTGAAGAGCAGCCCTTGACGACACACAGGCACAGATCAGCCCCGGCCACCCTGCCCACCTTACCTGGTCTCTCTGTCTTTGGGGATTGTGGCGGTGCTGTAAGCAAACACCTGCTTCTCAACGAGAGGAGGGCCGAGGTCCACAATGCCAGATAATCCCGGGGTGGTCCGTGGCTTTTCAATATACACCAAGGTGCCTGGCTCCTTCTTGAAGGCCTGGCGGCTTGGCGAGACCCGGTCTGGCTGCATGGTGAGAGGGGGCCCATGGGCGTTATGGTGAGCATGCATATCTACCATCCTCAGGTCACTGACTCGGTGGGGAGAGGATGGGGGCGTTTTGGAGCCCAGAGTAGGCAAGTGGCTATCTGGATATTTCCTTGATTTCTGTCTGTACAGTGACTGCTCCATCTGCATTTCTGCTTGCAAGGTAGGGTTGCAGTACGCACTCGCTGACCGAATAGCTGTGCGGTGATATGCGATGATGTGATCAGGGACATCCAGCGGGTGCCCGCCGTGGGAAGAGGCGATGCTCATCCGCCCCTCATGATAAAGGTAAGGTTCAGGGTAGAAGCCCTCATTTCGGTACATTGCAATGTTCTTGCCGCTCATGTCTTCATCTGGCTTTACATCTCTTCTTTCCAAAATGGCGCTTGGGCTGGGTGAGATGGATCTGGAGACTGGCAGGCTGGAGAGTCTGTCCCTGGGGATGGTGGCATTGCCAGGAACAACCATTGGGCGTGAGCCCCCATAAGGAATTCTGGATGGGGAAGGAGGCATGGAATGGGGCACAGGAGTGGACGGTGGAGAATTTGGGATGGCATGGGGTGGATGAGCTGTGGATCCAGGTCGAGAGACACCAGGGCCATCTCCTCTTGCATAAACAATTTCTCTCTGCATCTGAAAATAAAACAGTAATTAGAAAATTTACTTTGATATTCATGTTTTTAGAGAAGTCTCAATGTGACAGTGGCTTCCCTGATGTGGAGGCTGAGTAATGGCCCCTGAAAGATGTCTGCACCCTAAACTGTGGAACCTGTTAACTATGTTCCCTTTTATGGCAAAAAGGACTTTGCACGTGTCCCCTCTTAAGGATGTTGAGATGAGGAGGTTATCTTGGATTGGGCTCTAATGCAATCACAAGGGTCCTTATATGTGAAAGAGGGTTGCAGGAGGGTCAGAGTCAGGGAAGGAGATGTGATGACAGAAGAAGGTCAGAGAGAGAGAGACTGGAAGATGCTACACTGCTGACTCTGAAGATGGAGGAGGGAAGCATGAGCCAAGGAATGCAGACAGCTTCCAGAAGCTGGAAAGGGCAAGGAAATGCGTTCTCCCCTAGAGCCTCTCCAGTGGGACTGTGGCACTGCCAATACCTTGATACTGGCCTGTGAAACCCAGTCTGGACTTCTGATCTTCAGGACTGTAGGATCATGACTTGGTGGTGTTTTAAGCCAAGTTTGTGGTAATTTGTTACACCAAACGCAGGAAATGAATATACCTGATAGAGACCTCAACATTGTGGAGTCTCCCAAGCCTACTCTTCAAGTTCTATTTGTGTTATCACAGGAGGCCACATTCCCATCGGACTTTTGGGAGATGTGACGACAAGGAGGGCATAATGGTTGGGGGGTGGGTGAGGTAGGGGCTCAAATGAAGAGACAGGAGGTGGGCTCAAATGGACCAGAACCAAGATGAGCAGCTGAGAGAACCACAGTGTGGGTGATGGGGGAAGAGAGAAGAAAAAGCAGATGCAACAGGAAAAGGTTGAAAATGAAACAGAGCCCAATGGCCTGAAAACGTACTGATTCCTTACCCTATAAATTTATTCATTTAGTAAACAGTATTTACGCAGCACTTGCTAAGAACCAGGCATTATTCTAGGATACAGCTCTAAACAAGCCACCGGAGTCTCTGCCCTCGAGAAGGTACATCTCTTAGATGAGAATCAGGGGAAGAACCGGCAGGACTCCCACAGCTTCCTTATCTTGTTTCTGGAACCATCCAGCAGCGCAGAATCCCTGACCCAGGAGTTTTACATATTATGATGGATTTTATAATGGAAATGAGCAATAAAAAATGCAAGCAAAGTGGAAATATATAGCAACCAAAAGGAACCCTTTGAGGGTACATTACCTGAGCATCATTGAATTGGCTCCTCAGCCCCTTTAGGGAGCTGTTTCTGGAGACCCCAGAGTATGCAGTCCCCTCACTCGCAATCACAATTTTATCTCCACTACCCCCACCTCCCCAACATCCACACACACTCCCACCACATAGGCTAGTCTATTCCCCCCTCTAAACTGAACTTGGGATATCTTCAAGCTGTCCTCACCCCTGGGACTCTCTCCCCATTTCCTAGCCCTTGTGGATCCAAAGTGAGGCCGAGCTCGAGGCTGGGATCCAGGTGCGTCTGCTCCACATGGCCCAGCCCTGACACTCCAGCCCATGCACTCCTCTCTCTGCTCACTCACTTGACACCCTCATGAGTCAGGTGCCCAGGGCCTTAGACCTGATCATCTAAGGGCATTCCCAAGGTCACTGTGTGATAATATACCCAATTCTCATTCCAGAATGGCTGGAGCAACCGCGTTTCAGAAGGTTTGCAGCAGATCAACATGGATCCTCTATAAATACCGCTCCCACTCTGTCTTCCACAAGGCAGGGCACAATGAAAGGAAAGATCTGGCTGAGTGGTAAACAATGCAGAGCCTCCCAGGTCATACCCAGCTCACAAAAGACAAGAGGGACTGTCCCAGTGCATAGCTGGCCAAATGCCCCACACAATCAGACCACACAATGCAGTAATCAACCCAAATGAACATAAAGATAAATTCATCATATCTATTCAAAGATGCCACTGTGTATAAAGTACACCGCAGTGCTCAAGGGGGATCAGGTGCAAACGAATGGTAGGTACTACTGTCATTGTTATTAATTCCAAAAACGTAAAAAAGGGTTTCAAAGGTCTAGAAACCTCTTAGGATGAACAATGATCCTGACAAGGTTAGTCACCACTCCCTGTTCTTTTCCCTCCTTATCTGGCTTCAGATTACATCTTGATTTGGGGATCCTGATCCCAATTAACACCCCCTTTTTCTGGCAAGAGAATTAAAAGAGATGTCAAGATTCTAAGGAGTAGAGAACTGTCTAGAAGGATAAAGAATATTAACGAAATGAAAATGCAAAATTAATTTTAATCAACAAAAAGTTGAGTAAATTTCTTTTAAAACAACAGACATGCCTGTATAAGTATTTTAAAAATATAGCTAGTGATATGAAAAGAAAGGGTTAGGATACATTATACAACTAACTTTTAAAATGAAACACACAAAAAAATTTCATTAGACTTTCTTGGTGTAAATGAATTCAGAAAGAAATGTAACAATTAATTAACAATAATTCTGATATGCTGTCTATTCATATGGGGAATGGAGGTGACAGCCAAAATATTTAACATCTAGTAACCAGTATCACAAGAGTACCAACCTATCAGAATGGGACCTCAGCCAACAAGGATGGATCCCAGCCATAAGCGATCAGCATCGTGTACCTAATGGTAATGCTGTATATCAGCCCTGCCTTGTCCACTTCAAAATAATCTTGCCATCATTCAACAGGGTCACTGAAAGAATCATTGTCCTCCTGAGTTACCCACAGTGGAGGTGAATACAAGCATTCAGCAGTGACAGAACGGGTAATCTAAGGTTGAATGTCTCCGTCAGTATGGGTGATTTAGAGGTTGGAAGCTTTTGGCAGAATTCTTACATTGGCTTGCCAAGCTATCGACTGACTCTCCAAGACTGAGTTTTAAAAAGAACCCTGATAATTCCATCTTCAGCTTTACATAGAGCCCAAGAAGAGAATGACATGATGTTCCCATTATACAGTGGGAAAATGTTTTAAACCTACAACTAGAATGAACTCTTAAAGTGAGATAAGTTGGATTCACACACTAAAGGATATGGATCAACCAAAGACAATTCACTCTTGGGATGAGGTGGAAGGTATGATGGGGTGCCAAGAGAGAATCTTTTCCAAGTCTTCAGCGAGACCTCCCAAGGAAGCAGCTTGCTACTGCAGCACAAGGAGATGTTATGTACTCCGAGAGGTACTCATGGTCTGATTGACTGAACCCAAATGATGACTAAGATTCGATAATTCATAGTTTTAAAAAATCCAAGCCTTTAGTGTTCTTTCCATGGAGATATTTTCCTAGAATCAGGCACCTACACAGTTTTGTTTTGATTTTAACTATTTTTTGATGAATAAGCAAAGAAATGGCATTAAACACATACTGGATTTTTCTTGCATTAGCACTCAAAGTCAGACCATTTAAGAGAAAACTATATTAAACTTTAAAGGTAAAATAAATAAGCAAAACACATACATACAGTTGCTATTCAGCTTAATATATCTAAGTCCCTTATTCTCCCACCAACCTCTCTGATGCCACTAATCTTCTCTATTATCTCGTTTCTCTTAGGAAGTTAAAAGTATTTGGATATGTTATATCATCGACACTTTTGCCCCAGAAGATTTCAACACAAATGTCTTTATGTGAGCTTTAACAAACTTCATTTTACAGCAAGAAAAGACCTAAACACAAAAATAAAGGTTCTTTTAACACCCTACCAGAATACAACATGGTGATTTATTGGCCTGCACCTCGGCCTAGACAAAGAAAATGTTCATTTATCTGCACCGTATCTATTGGCAATGAGTCAACAGGGCTATTCTCCACCGCTCATCTACTTGGTTGGGTATCGTCTCTCCCACTTTCCATTTCTGCCCAAACCAGTGCTGTCTCTTGGTTGAGTCCTTCCAGTTCTTGTGAACGGCGAAGTTTCTTCCAGAGCCTGAGTACCATGGCCCCAGCTGAGAGGCTGCTGTCTCTGGCCACAGCACATAGTTCAGTAAGCTGCTTAGCTTGTACTTCCCAAAGACCAGAAAAAATCTGGGGTAGTTTCAAATGAATTACTTAAAGTTTGAGTTAGGAATCCTAACATATATATCTATATTTCAGTTCCCCCAAACACTGTAAGTTAAACCAAATAATACTCATTTAGAAGCTTCTTGAATATAAGAGGGGGAAAAAAATCTTAAAACTGTTTCTGGAAAAAATCTAGCACGAAAAATGTTTCTTTCAAATCATTTTGGGAAACTCTCTCGTGTAATCACGTCCTTTTGTGGAGCATTTAAAATATATATGTATTCTTTGTGGAAAGGGAGTATTACGTACAGTTGATTGTATTTCAAACCCCACCCTTCCGAGTCTAGAATTTGTAAACATACCACTCAATCAGACCACACAATGAAGTAATCGGACAAAACTGAAAAGGATTCTTATGAGGTTCTTTCGTCCTCAAAGAATTAAAGCCACTTACTTTTTCTCAAGGAAATCACCTGTATAACTAATTCCGTGAAAAAGAACATTGGCTCAGTTCCCAATTACGCGACTCCTTTGTTTGCTGGCTCCATCTAAATCCTCAGTTCCACTCTTGGATATTTTACACAGCTTTCTCTTCAGAGAAGAAATGACAAAGGACACAGATCCTAAAATGTTCCCCAGCTTGAGTGTTCTCAACCAGTAAAGACCATTTTGTTTTACCCAGTCTTCTGAGCAAAGCTGCCACGGGCATGGATAAAAAGTAGTCCTCCCCATGATAAGCCAATTTCTCCTCCCCTTGGAAATTAGTCACTGAATAACCTCAGCCCACATCCAACCACAGGCTACTCAGGGTGACTCAGTCCTTTAACAATTGCTTACACGGAAAACACACACCAATGAACGAACTCTGAGAGGCCAAGGTAAATGGGTTAACAATGAAAGAAACAGGACAAAATAAATTTTACTAAAGCAAACAGGATCACTGTAACAAACCAACAACCAGCCACCAACGAAACTATCGGGAAACCCAACATGTTAATTACCCCCCGGAACCAACTCTCAGATCAGTGTTCTGTGGAGGAAGGGTGCTCGCTGCTGGAAAACCTAGACGGACCAGCCCCCAACACCCACTCTGCTGCCAGACTTTGCAAGTCTGTGGATTGGCAACTGACGGAAATGTGAGCCTCTTCCCCTGGTTTATAACCCCAGAGGGAAAACAAGGAGGCTGTCTATTAATTAACCAGGTTGGTTTTACCAAGCTGAACCTCGGGTAGCAGCCATTAATCAGCCCTGCACAGCACCAGGCTAGCAACTGGAAAACATACCTGAAAGAAGAGGGAAGGAGAGAGAGGGCCAGACAATGCTACGCAGAGGGCATTCAAGAAGGAAACTGGAGCCCTTCTGCCCCACCCTCAACAAGATGGAGGAGCAGGCCAGGGCAGTCTCCAGAGAACTCCGTGGGCAACCGCTGTCAACGCAGCTATTCTCTTCCAGGGGACCAGGCACAAGGAGGCGTGCGTTCCAACAAGAAGTGGCTTGTGCCACGCTCCGGGGAGGACAGGTATTAACACATCACTAACAAAAGGCGAGGGAGAGAGGAAGCATTTCCTCAGCTCCCAGCTAGGCTCTGTTCCATCACCATCATGCTTTCTGAGCCCTCGGGGAGCGAGTGGAACAGAAAGCTTTCCAAGTGGGAATTCAGAAACAAGTCAGCCAAAATGCTGGGCTGGAAGCCCTGCTGGCCTCTCGCCACACCCCACAACCATGCTCTGGGCAGCCTGTGCATTTTTCAAACATTTTAAGGCTTTTAGAGGTTGTTCTTGTTGACCAAAAGAATTCCATGATGTCTCAAGTTCAAATCCAGTCAGCGCTGCAGGCTTTCTAAAAAAACTGTTTACTGCCATCTCAACACTTTGTGGTTCTTAAAAGAGGGAGAAAACGGGGCACATGACATCGCCACCCTCCTAAGATGTCTCATTAGAAACAACTTTTGGGTGAAGTGGTTACAACAGATGCCACCTAAGAGGTCAGAAAGGAGCAGAAGGAATGCGAAAACCTTTGTTTGGATTTTTAATCGAATCAGCGAGAGTTTGTTATTTCTCACCGGAGTATGGCAGGCACACACTGGGGGCCCTGGCGCATCTGGGATACATTTGGCGGGTTTTTTTCTTCAGTCAAATGCATGCTTTCCAGGAAGGGGATGGAGGGTTGGTCATCCTTGTCTGATTAAGCTATGATTCCACCCCTACTACAACCCCTGAGACCCTGATTTATGGCCTAAGATGTCCTAAGTAGCACGGTTCCTGTACTGACTTACCTGCTCTTGACACCTGCAGGACAGCTTGTAAGAGTGAAGGAAGGTGAAGTGTCTGGGCTGGCGGCCCCCCAGAAAACAGAAGCACTGAGCTCTCGCTGTTGTCTGGCTCAGTGATTCACGCCCTGCTCCACACATCAGCTGCTTTAGAGACAGGTGGCTTCTGTGGACTCTGCTACCATGCGAGTCGGTGGGTGCAAGGTGACCTCCCACCTTGGTTTACCTCCCCATCTCTTCCTTCCAGCCATGTTCACAGCAATTTCCTTTCACTTTCAAAAGGCTGCAGGGCACCGTCTAGAGAGTACACGCATGGCTTTGTCATGACTAGAGCAGTCATTCCCTCTCAGGAGTTGGAAGCTGGTCCAATCCTGCTGTGAATCAGGATGAGTTAAACATTCTAGGAAGAAGCATGCAGCTCACCCAAGAAAGAAGGGAGGTTCCCTATCTTAAGGCTTAGGTAAGCTAATCTGAAGAACATCTTGGTGTCGTACAGGACCTGGGCTTCACCTGAGTGGCTCCTGCTCTTCAGGGAACAGCTCATTCAGGCTACCTCATCACAAAGTTTGGCTCACTCTGGGTGTGCCCAGTCACTGACACCCCACGCTCTGGTTTCCCTTCTTCACCAGCTCCTCCTCAGCCTGGCCTTCCTGGGGATGATGCTAGACCCTTTGTGAACTAGTCCTTCCCAGGAGTGTAGTCAATGTCCCACTATTCATTCTTCTTCTTCCTTTCATGGCCTGGCACTATAAGTGAAGTGGAAGCCATTTATTTCTTTTGAGTTAGTACTAAGAAAGGACATGCTAGTAAATATGCAGCATTACCTTAAGAGGAAATCATTTTTATGCTCTGGTAAGGCTAAGAGTCTTGTGAAATTTATCACAATTTCCCCTTTCTTATTCATTTCTTTACTGGCTTTAAGAAAATTACATATGCTAAAAGAAAATCTAAAATGTGCTTATAAACATGAAGATGATATTGTGAAGGGAAGTGATTATGATGCTGGAAAAATTTTAAATTCATCTTGCTTACCTTGTTAAAATTGGAAAGACGGTCATTTGTGAGGTATCAGCGAACCTATTAATGTTTCATTTGATCGTAAATGGAATGTCTCCCAGACATGAGACAGACAGACTGTTGCCAAAGCTATTTAATTCTCAGGAAAGAGATGGTCCCTTCAGTGGTTAGCTTATAGCTATATTTAAGATGAGCGTTATTTCTACAAGTATTTTGACATGGCGGACTCTGCTGAGCTCTCCCCATACCAGACCTGGCTGACTTAGCACTATGCCCAATGGTGATTAAAGATTTCAGTCCAGAACAGAATAACGAAGTAACATTAAATAAATCATTTAACTTCCAAGCCACAATCAGTAACTGTGTGAAGTTGCAGGACAGATAAAAGAAAAATGTCCTTCTCTATGTCCACTCAATCTTCTATTGGGATACTCATGTATTATCCAGGCCAAGGTCAGCCTCCTTTTGTACCTAAAATAGTTACAGCTTATAAAATAATATCTTCTTTCTACCATTTGCAACAGATGGTACAAATAACTCCTCATTACTTATCTCTGTCTCCGCACATCCGCTCATTTCCTGGACGGACACTATTCTTTTCTAGGTGACTCCCTTTTGGTGTTTCTAGATTGGCTGTTAGTAGTGAGCCATCTCTGTCACTCAAATATAACTTTTTATTGCCTTAGATTTTCTTTTTCTTTTTATAAACTGCTATTTAACTTGTCAACGTCCATACCGTGACGTATAATATATTGCTTTACGTATTTACAACATTTCTTATTTTACAAAGGATTTTAGATGGCTATACCCACACACACACTCACACACACAGACTAGTCATCCAGCAGTTTGCAGTTTACACGGTGCTTTCAATTGTGGTTTTATTTCATGGGTCTCAGAACTCCGTGGGATACACAGTTGGGTGTTACTATACCCATTTGAATGGTTAGGACATGCAAATGTAAGGAGTTAGGAACCTCGCCCAACTTCACGAAGCTACTAAGTAGTGAAGCAGCAAGAAGACACAGCCTGGCCACTGTGTCACTGTCTCCTTCACCATGGAAGTGTGAAATCTCGGGTCCTCCAGGACACGGGGAGCTGCTCTGAGAGGAGTCGTGCTCCCAAGGCCTTCCCAACGGGAATGACTGAGGGGGTTACTGGCTTGATTTTGACCTTCAGCATGGTGAACTCTATTTGAGAGATCTCTCGCTTGCTTTACTCACAAGCTTAGATTTTCACAGCAAAGGAAAAGAGTAACTGGGACATCTCAGTGGGCTTAGGATCTAATTATTCAGATACTCTCTTGGCTTAACTATTAAGTATTTATCTTCTCACTTTGAAATTAGTTATATAACTAGTTATACGTTATATTTAACAATACACATATTAGTATATATTATTCTTATA